ACAAAGTACTAGAATTTGGCACCTAGGCCAAATATAACAAGCAATTCAACCTTATCATTTTCATTAATTAATTTACCATTTTTTATGTCATTTCCTCTAAACCATAAAAACATCAATTAATTTTAGATTAATCATTTCCTTTTTTCTTTCTATTTTGGATGGTTACCTAATGGAGGATAACTTTCATTTGGTCATTTTTCCTCAAAATTTCATATATAATTCTCTAATCAAACATTGATTTATCAATTATACATCAATTAAGTTAATTAGAACAATTAACCTAAACTTATCACTTAGGCCGAATTACTACTCAAAGTGGCCATACTTCAATTTTTTTCCAATTCAACACCATAAACACTCCTAAATCATTTCATCAAACACTTTAAATGCATTAAACACTTAAACCATAAATTTCCTCCTACTATAAGGATCCAAAACATCTTTCTAAAATAAGAACACCTCCAAAATTCACCTTTCCATTTCCAATCAACCAACCAACATAACAATTATAACATCACTAATACAATTATATCATCAACATCATTCAATTTTCACAATAACATCTTAACTCCATAATTAAAACCATAAAACCATAAACAATAAAACTTTAATTTAACATCTAATATACATAAGAAAAAAAACACTATTTTCTTATGTTTTAGTGAGCATTACACTTCCCTTGCTTGAAGTTTGGCCAATCCTCCTCCTTTCCTCCTTGGACTTCTTCCTCCTCTTTTCTCCTCCAAACTCAACCACAAGTGAATTTCTTCCTCCTCCTTTTCTTGTTCTTCTAAACCAATTCTAAGGTAGTCTTAGGGTGTTTCTAGATTAACTAAGGTGGTTTGGAGTGGTGGCTTGATGGTTTTCCTCTTGGTTGTACTTGTTCTTCCTTTGGTGTCACTTGAACTCTAACAATTTCCAATCTCTTCTTCATTCATCCTTGGTTGAATTTAGAGGGAGGAGATTCTTTTGGATTAATTCAAGTGTGTTACACTTGGATTAATCCCAATTTCTTGCATTAATGGTGGTTCTAGATTTTTCTTTATTTTTCTTCTTTTCTTCATCTTTTTCCTTGATTTTTTTGGTAGATTTTTCTCTCCCTTTCTTCTCCTCTCTTTGCCCACTTAGCTCCCCATTTTTCTCTCCTTTTTCTCCAAATTTTCTTGCTGAAATTAGTCTCCCAAAATCAATTAATAAATCCCCCAAAACATTAACATGTTATACTTTCGTTCCTAAACTTTTAATTTTTACAATCGCCCCTTCGATTTCAATTCGTAACTTCATAATTTCCCTCAATCTAACCCTTATACCAGGCCTTTTCCAAGAGCAATTAAAGCCCCTAAATTTTTTTAATATTTTGATTAAGTACTCAATCTTTTAATTGTTTCAATTACACCCCTACATTTTGCAATTACATCCCTATATCAAAACATAACTATATCAATTACTAGTACAAATCTCTAATTCACCCTTTATTCATTTCATAGTCCTTCCATTATAATCATACTTGTATCTAATTTATACTTAATGTAAGTATAAACTTTTATTTCTTACTTTATTTAAATATCCCTTTATTATTTAAGCAAAACATCTTTACAACGTATTTACCTTTAAGAAAGATTTTGGATCGGGGATATGACATCAAGTTAATGATATATTAATATTTTCAGATAATATGTAGAAATATAAGGAATATCTACAAATGTTTGGTGAAAAATATGCCATAGTTTTATTTGAAAAGAAAGATGAGATAACTTGAACAAAGATATAATTCTTGGTCTAATTATTGATCAAGGCAAGATAGAACTTTAAATTCATGTGATTACTAAGATATGTCAATTTCCTCACAACATTAAAGATAAAAAAAACAATTATAAAAATTTTAGAATCTTTGAATTATGTTGATCCTTTTATTAAAAAATATATATATATAGCGACAAAGGAAAAACCTTCATGTGAAAGTTGAAAAAGGACATGAGTGGCTTTAACCACCAAAAAATGTAGTGGTGCAAAGTTATTAAAAGATATTAATTTAGATTATCAATTTTAGAATTCCTTTAGAATCGGATAGTTTAATACTTGAAACTAATGCTTCGATAGACATTGGTCAATAGTATTAAGGTATCATTTTGTTATTAGGAATGAAATGTCCGAAATGGGAATGCGAGAATTAGAATAAAAATTAAGAAATCGAAATGATATTTGTATTCCCATACCGTGTTTGAAATATTAATAAGGAATCAAAATGTAATTTAAATTTTTTAATATCCGATTTTTTATACGAATAAAAATAATAATTAAAAAAATAATTTTATCAAACTATAATTGTTGTAAAAATAATAAAGGTGATGTGGTGGTGGTAGTTATGGTAGTGGTGGTTCTAGTGGTGATAGTGGTTATAATAGTGGTTGCGGTAGTGGTAGTGGTGCATGTGGTGGTTGTAGTGATGGTGGTTTTGATGGTAGTAGTGATGGTTATGGTAATAGTAGAAGTAATTAATAGACAATAAATAAATAAAATATATTATTATTTTGAAAAAAAAAATCATTCTCATTCCTTATTTTTATTCCTACATCTTATATGGGAATGAAATTGTGTGAAAATTTCTATTCTCATTCCGACCTCATTCCTTTTAACCAAACAAGCTATAACATAGGAATAAAAGTTTCATTCACATTCTCATTCTTATCACTTTATTCGTGATTATCAAACAGACACCTAAGAATAAAGAGAAAATAAGGAAAAGAAATTTATCTAGATATATAATCAACGAAACTTTTATAGCAAGTGAAATTAATTATCACTCTAATGAAATCGAACTCTTAGCCATAAAAAGAGATATTGAAAAGTTTAAAATATATTTATTAGATAACGAGTATAGTTTGTTAGTTTTTCAATTTGAAATATATATATATATATAGCAGGGAAAGGTAAATATTTAGTAGATACTTTATCGAGAGAGGATGCTAGCTAGTGAATCTAGTTATTCAGATCTAGCTTTACGATGTTATATGAGCTTGAATTACTACTTAATATAAAGATAAAAGTTCCCAAAATAATTAATGATCTTGAAGATCTTAAGTCAAAGTAAATCTATAAATTAACTAGATAATAACAAAGATAATTCTTCAAAACATTATCAAATAAGCCTAGAAATCAGCCCAAGATGCGGTAATACCAGCCATGGGGATGGAGATCCAACTATAGATACCTTGGGAGAAAATTCTAGGTGTTTTTTTTTTTTTTTTTTTTTTTTTTTTTTAAGATATAGATACAAGCTCAAAATAAAAATAAAGATTGATCCACCATCAAAAGTAGTTCCTTCTTGGGAAGAAGAAAAAAATTATATATATATAGGAATTACATAAAAAAATGCAAGTAAATAAATAAAGATAACAACCCCTGAAAATACAGACAAACATTTTTAGAATAATAACAAGTTAACCATTGATAATTGGCTCAAGCATCTAAATTATGGAAGCTACAACTAATGTAACATATATTTTGGAGCTGATCCTGATGACATAGTCTCTGGTCTTTATGAACAAGGATTAATTCTTTGTTTATATCCTAATTTTGATCTTAAAAAGTAGAAGAGCAGTAATGGAATTCATCAAATCTATAGGGCGTACAAACACCTGTATATTTTACTTCTACGTACTTAGTTATTCTAGCTAGAATGAGAAACGTGCGCATGAAAATTATCTCCAAACATTTAGATTCTCGAGATTATTTGATAATGTATTTTACAGAAGAAAATATCAAAGATATTCCACAAAGAAGAGCTAAGGGATAGAAAGATATGTATAACTAATTACCTTCATGAAATATTACACTATATCTAAAGATAAAATTTGGGTGCACAAACATTAAACCAAGAACAAGAATATTATCCTGTCCAGCATAGAAGCATTTCAAGAAATGTAAGCAAATAAGATTCCATATGAACTATAAATATCAGATATATTTATCTTAAGAATAAAACTTGTATGAAAGCCTAAAACCCTCCAGTATAGAGGAAGTAGCCTATCTTAATGATTACTGACAGATCCTCAGTGCGTGTCAAACCTTGTAATATTAACCTCATAAAGAATGATTTTTTTATTTTTATTTTTAATTTTGAAAAGAAATATCTATATTATACCAAACATAGATATACGCTCCTTATTACAAAACGAATAAGAATTGAGGCAGGTACCATTAAAGCACAATTGATTATCGGAACGTCGAAGAGGCATTGAAGGCATGAAAGGTCAAAAGAGAAAAAAACTGTTCGTGCTAGAAGTGACAGCTGGTGATATTCTGCTCAAAATATCTGTTAAGGTACGATGTTTATTATTCTTTATTATTGCGAAAGGCATGGTGACCCTTTCTTGGTAAAATTTTAATCCTTGTTTTGATACACAGTAGTTTATTATATTTAGATAGAAATTCTCTCTCTCTCTCTATATATATATATAGAGAGAGAGTATATAATTTCTATCTAAATACTCAACTTTTGCTGTATATATATATATATATATATATATATATATATCATAGATTGAGGCAAATTGTACAGCAAAAGTTGAGTATTTAGCAATAATAGTAGAACATATAGGAATAATCTAAAAAACAGCCTTTAGAGTATCTAAACATGCCAGAAAAATTGCAAGATATATTAGGTATAAAAAAAAAGAGGGGAAAAAAAAAAAAAGTCAGTAGTAATCAAGTTGTCTTTGCCCCCCATGTTTAAGCCTAGTATTACTGATCAGAATTGTACAGAGCCATTAAATTGCCATCCACAAATAAATTATTTACCAATACTTTTACAACTACGGTATCATTAAAACGTCTGTTCATTCCAATTTGAAAAAGGGAATTAATTTTGAAAAGTTAAAGAGAAATCAGTAATGAATTTCTCTATTAACACATGCTGCTGACCACTAGCAATAATGCAGTATGCTTGGATGCTTGATATCTAAATTAATCTTGCTTCTCTGGTTTTGCTTGTGTTTGTGTTAGGTAACTCTAATAGGTCTGATGCGAAGGGGACTTGGGGATGGATTATTGCTTTCCGAAGATGTTGAAGCAGCAAGACTGAGCTCTAGATCAGGTACTGCTACATTTAGAGGCATTGCTTTTGATGGATTTGAAGGCTTTGGCAAGGGATATTCATTCACTACGTGCAGAAAAAATGGCATTGAATGGTCTTGTGGTGCTAATTCATCCGAATAGTTAGTTTCTTGGACATCTGATTTGACTCCTTGTTCATGATCAGAAATGTTAAGGCCTGGCAGAGGCAGAGTACTGGTTTCATGGTGCGTTATTGCATATCGAGAGCTAGATGCCTTGAAATATGTAGGAACTGGATAATCACTTGGCTGGTTATTGCAGGAACCACCAACTTGATGACTAGTAGTTATGTTGCTGCTGCTTACAACCTATACAAGTAAAAGAAAATCAATATCCATAACAAAATGCATAATTGAGACTATAAAGTGGAGAATCAAATGTGTACCAAGTCGAAAAGGCTTGAACGTCGCTTCTTCTTGTTCAGGCTTGCCTGGCGAAGAAAATGCTTTTGAGCATGGCTAGCAACTTGAGTGGGAGTTCTAGTAGTAACAAAGTTACGGGAGATGCCTCTCCAATCTCCCTTTCCTAGCTTCTCTAGTCCGATTAGAAATGTTCTGTGCTCCTCTTCTGTCCATGGAACTCCTAACACCCAAAACTCAAAAATATTCATTCATATAATCTATACCTAAACAAAATGAAAGATGAAAGAATAAAGCTGTTGATATAGAAATGTACCAAACTGTACGTACAGATTCGAAATTAGAGAGAGCGTAGTGACGAAGAAGAAATTAATTAGGCAGGCACACACAAGAATCTTGTGATATCGATTTCTTATTGAACTCATAAAGAAATTAAAAGAAGAAATTAATTAAAGGGTTGCAACAACTGAGCTTATGGAACAGTAAAAAAGAGGAGCATATAGTAGTGAGGATGTTAGATATGTGAATGAAAGAAATTATATATATTCAAAACACACCCTTCTTTCGCTCTTTGACCGGACCTATGAGACCATCAGACAGATAGCCGATAGATGTTTTGTCAGAGTTATCATCAATGGAAACTCTAGATGAACACAAAGAAGACGATGGGGATGAGGATGAGGATGAGGGTAAGCAATCCATGCTGAAGCTCTTCTTCATGGCAGCAGAAGATGAAGATGTGCCAAGTTGCACGCCAAAAAGCCTAAGACCACCAACAACGGTTGCTCTGTAACGGGCGCAGGTCCTTGAATTATGGCCTAAGTTCCCACAATGAGAGCACTTCCTGCCCATTTTTACGCAGACAAAGCACAACTTCTTAGACAAACAACCAACAACTACAAATAACAAACAGAGAGAGTGAGAGAGAGAGTAAAAGTAACGAATAGTTTGGTGGTATATACGATGATGAGGTAAGGTGGGGTTTATGAAAATGGATTCACACCAAGCGAAGATGATTGGATGGACATAGTTTATTGTTGGATATTTTTCCAATTTGGGTTCTAAACAAAAGAATTGCACACATCCCTGCCTCTGGGAAGCTTATCTTATATATAGAGTATATTTTTGGTGGGGAGCGTACAGCAAGTGCAATACTTTGCACCAGCAATACTCCTTTTAATATATTTTTTTAAACACTTATCAATAAAATGTTCACGTCAAGCATTTTTAATTATCTCAAACATTGAAACAAAAAATTAGTAATAAAAAGATTACTCATGTTTCATATTTTTAAAAAGTTTATAAATTACAATCAATCTTATAATATTTAAAAGACCAAAATACTTCTTTTTAATTCTTTTGCATAAAACACCAATGTAGTGGATGGTATGGTTGGTGTTGATAGAGTTATTGCCGATTGTATTGACCACGCTGCTACCATTAGTAGTGTTGATGATGTTGTCGTGATTCATAGGGTTGACATGAATGTTGTTGAGGGCGATAAGAGTTACTTAAAGGTTGTTCGAGATGGAGGGACAAACAAAGAGGTTGTTGCCATCGAGGACTATGAAAATTTGTTTGTCAATATTGATAAACTCGAGGGGCAAGAAGATGTTGCTACTGTCGAGATCATTTAAAGTTGTTTTGGGGTTGTTAACATGGGAAAAGTAGGAAGAGTTGCTGCTGAAAAAAGAGGAATAAAGCTAGAGAATCAATCCGAGGTTGTTGACTTTGTCATATTGAAGACCGATGCAAACAATGATTAAGATGCAAGTAAAGAGAAATTATTATGGATTGAAGTTTCTAGATTTCCAGCCAAAGCAACTTACAACGAGAAAGACTCGGTATGAGTGATTATCAAGAAGGAGCAAGTATTAAAATGAAGGTTTGTTAAACTTAAAGACATAGAAAATTCATTTCAAGTTGTCAAGAGGATAGGTGAACACACATATAAGATAGACCTCCCTAGAGATTACCTAATCTCAAGAATAATGACCTTTCACCATACCTTAGAGAAGAAGACAATGACCGTGATGTCAAGGTCGACTCTTTTTCAACATGAAGAGTATGATGCTAGAGCATCCACCTTTCATTTGGGCCAAAAGATTGGCACTCCACAATGGCTGAAACTTTCAGTCCCTATCCTATTTATTTTGCTATCTTTTATTAATTTAGGTTGTATTTTATTTATTTGAGTTATTTTAAATTATATGAATTTAGGATAATTAATTAATCCTCATGAATTTCACATTTCCTATTTAGTTTAGGACTTGGCCGAATGTGGCATAGGTGAATATTTTGATTTTGTATGTTATGGATCCTTATTTGTTAGGGAGATCTTATTTATTTTAAGTCCATATAATATGTGGATCTAAATATAATTAGGTTAAATTAATAAAGTCTTAATTCAAGATGGATGGTATAAATCCAAGTCAAATTAGGAAAAGAATCCTAGTTAGGAAACGAGTTTGAATCGACCAAGGAGAAAACTCAACCTACTCGACTCTTTTATGGTCTTTAGGGATGAGTATTTAAGCACGCTTTGTGCCTCTTTTTTAGTAGATTTTGATGAATATTTGAGTATAAATTGAGAGTTTCTCTTTGTTACTTTTACATATCTACTTTGTTTGGACTGGCTAGAACATCATGAACATATCCTTAGAGTGATCTACTAAGGTGATCTTCGATTAACAATTGTATTTGGTGAACTCTAGGCAAGCATATCCCATAAGTAATCTATAAATAAACTTGAGTAGATTTTTCTTTTTAATGGTGACATTGAGGCTTGCTTTCATCTTTATGTTTGGTTGATAAATAACGAGTATATTAGGGTTCCAAAACTAAATAGATTTGGTATCAAAGATGATAACCAAGGGTAGGGATTTTGTTTTGATTTAAAATTTTATAGTAGTTGGTTAAGGGGATGATTTAGCTCTTGTAAAATGAAATTAGAAAATTAAAAAATATTTTTGTGTGTTTTTTGGCCGAGGAATTTAACATAAATTCTGAAACCTATTTTGTCCAAAATTTTAACTTGTTAAAAAAGGGTGTTACATGGCTTAAATTAATCTAAAATTTGAAATACACATACTTCTAAGTAGTATCTAGATTTTATAAAAGTTTCATTTAATTTTGAATTGATTTGGTCTGAAATCTCCCTTTCTTTATATTCCGATCTAGTGATTGTTTGTTTGGAGTTTATGTGATTTCGTTTGTACTTGTGTTGAGGAGTTTATTGATTGTATGTTAACCTTTGATTGTGAGTTGTTTGAGGTCTGTTTGGATTCAATTTAAGGCTAGTTTATAGCTTGGATGTTTTGACTTATGGCTATTTGTTTGTTGCTTGTGTGTTTAAGCTTGCACGAGGCTTATCACCTCTCGATCCAAGCATCATGCAACCGTCGAGAGCTCACCAATCTTATGTATGGTTTACACTCATTAGGAGTTTGCCAATCTTATTTTATAAACTATAGTAATCAAGGGCTTGCAAACCTCATTTTATAGGTCGCATCCATTAGGGGTTCTATTTTTTTTTTTTTTTTTATGGGCTACAACTATTAAAGGCTCACAAATCTTATGCTATGCACTACAACCGTTAAGGGCTTGCCAATATTTTATTATAGGTTGTAGCCATTAGGGGCTTGCCAACCTTGTGTTATGGGCTGTAACCATTTAGAGCTTACCAATCTTGTCTTAAGGATTGTAGTCATTATGGACGTGCCAATTTTGGTTAGTTATGGACTATAGTTGTTGAAGACTCATCAATTTTGATTCGTTACGGGCTATAGTTATTGGGGACTTGCCATTGCATTTAGTTACAAACTATAATTATTATGGACTTACCATTTTTATTTGTTTCCATAAGCCGCAACCGCTAAAGGCTCACCATTTCTTCAATATTTTCTTTCTTTTATTATAGAGTGTGGAAATAGGCCTTCTACCATCTAACTCTCAAATCACTAGATTAATCTATCTAAACCTAAAGATAAACATACTCGAATAGGCATATACTTATAATATAGTAAGAGCAAAATTTTACTTTCAACATGCATTCATTGTAGTTTGTCTTAGATAGAATGGGATTGTAATACTCAAATTTATTTTCTCTATTTTTTTTTAAATATTTATTTTGCTAAGTATGTTCATGTCATGCTTATGTTATTATCAATGATTGTTTGTTAAGTATATGCATGCTATTTAGTTAAGTATATGTATGTCATGTTTGGTGCTTATATTTTCAAATTAATATTGCTAAGTGTTGTATAAATAGTGAATTAATGGATAAGTGGAGGACTTAAAGAATATAATTTAATTAAATATTCTCATATATGTATAACTTAGGAATTAAAATTTAATTAGTTTCCTAAACTCGAATTAAACTAAGAAATAATCTCCTAATTAGGTGTTCCACCTAAATTAAAAATATCTAAATATATATATATATATATATATAATCACCTTAGGACATATGCCTCATTAAAGCTATTTTGGTCCAAAAGTTTTGGTCAACGAGAGGGAAATAAAATGGGAAAAAGTTTATAGGGTTTTTCATTTGCGTTTTCATTTGCCTCCATCCTTTTGAGAGAGAGACTTAAATACTTTAAAGATAAAGAGAGCAAGACAAACTCAAACATTTAATAGAAGCCTAGATTAACAAGAGAGGAAATAAGGAAAGAAGCTAAAATTGTCCAAGAGAAGACAACTTGGTCGAAAGGAAGAGAGGATGGTAAAAAAAAAGAGAGAATTGGTCGAAAGCCAAATCCGAGATTTTGAGCAAGTAAGAGAGGTGTGAAATTGAGGACTTTTAAGGTGATTCCAACTTCAATCAAACCAAAGGTAAGTTTAACTTCAACTTACCATAAGACTTAGAGTTTGTATGTGTTGATTTGGTAATATGTGTTTATGTGAAACATAGGGTTTCCATTTATGCAATTGAGTGAATTGTGTTCAATTGATGCTTGGGTTATGAAATTAATGAATGATTGAATAATATGATGTTATGGCATGTATTTAATTATTGATTGAATGTGTTTAATGATGTGTTCATATAAACTTAGATATTTTAGGGTCCGGGTAGTTGTTAAATGATGATTTTACATTATGATGTTATTAGATAAGTAATTAATAAAAGATTGACCATGGAATTAATGATAGGTATGTGTTTAATTGTTTAATTATTGATTTAGCATGGGTAATATAGTGATCATATGAGACTTGAAAATTCTTAGGCTTGGTAATTATTGATTATCCTTAATTGATGAATATACATAATTATAGTGATCGATACATATGAATTGATGATTTTACATTTGAGCATGTGTTTAATTGATGTTTGTTTAATTATGATGGATAACTTTTGGATGGATTCAGCTTTGGTTTATTGATTTAGTGATGGCATTATTACATAATATAATTCGACCTTAGCTTGTGAATGAGTGCTTGAGGTTTGCTTGTGGTTACTTGATTTGGCTTTGACAATTGAAAGATGATGGTGATGATGGATGATTCAACTAGTGATGTTTTGTTTAAGGTTACTTGATTTGGGATGATTTGACTTTTTTTATTGAATTTGGCTAAGCTTATATATTTAGTATTTTGTGCTTATTGATTGATGAAGGTTATTGTTATTCGGTTTTGATGATTGAATTGCTTGTGGAAAAGCATGATGAATTTGGTTATGCTTGATTAATGAAGTGATTTTGTGTTTTTAAATAAATTGAACACTTGAGAAAAGTTTATTGTGATTCGGTTTTAGCTTGTGGATTGATTGGTTTGAGGAAGCTTTATAGTCTTGGCTTTGGCTTATGCTTATTAAACTTGTTATTGAGATTATGGATTTTATTGGTGTTGAA